TTACATAAATGTTAAATTATATGTATTTATTAAATGAATAAATATATAGTCTACTGACTGTTTACATAGATGACACTTTTACAATAGTTTACGTTGTCTACACGTAAACGTAGAGTATTATATTTTACGCGTAGACAATTTATAGATGCACAACCCTGGAAACACGTCTGTGCAGAGCAAGAGACAAATGGCGTGTATGTGCTTTATTTAGGAAGTTACATAGTTATATTATGGATGGCGCTGTATGGCGCATAGCATTAGAGCATAATTTTCCTATAACATCCTCACTCATGAAATATTAAAAATTTTAAAGTAGGAATAATAAACTCAAACTCATATAATGGAACAAAACAATTATCTTTGACAAACTTAGATACTTTTTACTTTAATGGATAAATAAAAAAAGAAAAAACGAATTTCTAATCTTTTATGCATACAATTAAGTCCCGCCTTTTGGGCACAAGATACACGCTTTGGTCCACAGACTGCTTTTGTTAAGTAATCCGCTGCCATCTCGTCCGTAGAAACTCCAGTTTGATAGTTTCTTTTGCAATCTTCTCCCGGATGTAATGATGGAATACGTCAATGTGTTTGGATCTTGCTTTATATTTATCCGTTTTAGCAAATTCCAAGGCGCTTTGATTATCACATTTGATCTTAATAGATCTATTACTGGCATTTAATTCGAGGCCCTCACTAAAATGTTTAAGCCACAAGACCTCCTGCACCGTCGCTGACAGAGCCATGTACTTGACTTCGGTACTTGACAAAACAATTGTCTGCTGCCTTTTGCTCGCCCAGGATACTGGTCCGCCACATATTAGGAAAATGTAGCCAGTGCACGACCGTCTCTTATCAACATCCGATGCCCAATCTGCACCTGAATAACCAAGTAGTTCAGTAGATATCGATTTTGAATAGCATACCTTATAGTCCAAAGTCCATTTTAGATACCGAAATATCCGTTTAACCGCTGCCCAATGCGCCTCGCCAAAATTGGAGTTAAACCGGCTGACATTATTGACGGCGAATGCTATGTCAGGGCGCGTTCCTTGCGCCAAATAAAGTAAGCTTTCAACAACCTCTTGATATGGTATACCCTTCAGATCTCGTTTTTCTTCCTCGCTGTTCGGAGATATCGCAACTGAGAGCTTTTGGTTTGGATCACTCGGAGTCGTGTTGGCTTTACAGTTAGCCATGTTGAACTTCTCGAGAATTTGCTTCGTGTATTGAGTTTGATCTAGACAAATTCCATTGGACAAATTCATATGTAATTTGCAAACCAACACAGTTACTGGCTGCTCCCATGTCTTTCATCTTAAAGGCTTCACTGAGTGACATCTTCAATTGCCTTTTTACTTCGGCATTCTGCCACAAGATGAGTATATCATCTACATAGATGGCCACAATAAGAGTCACGTCTTGATTGTAGTACACGCAAAGGTCCGCATTTGATTTGTTAAATCCAAAAGCCCTTAGCTTGCTTTCTAATTTCTTATTCCATTCTCGACTACTTTGTTTTAATCCGTAGATGGGCTTTTTTAATCGGCACACTTTACCCGCTTCATCATTGAAGCCTTCTGGAGGATCCATGTAGATTTCTTCTGATAAATTTTCTTGAAGAAAAGCGGTGACTACATCCATTTGATCGATCTTTAGTCCGCGTTTAATTGCTAGTCCGATTAAATATTGAATTGAAGTGTATCTCACAACGGGGGAGTATGTCTCATGATAGTCTGTACCATACTCTTGAGAATATCCCTTGGCTATGAGTCTTGCTTTATGTCGAACTATTTCTTCTCTCCCATCGCGTTTTGTCTAGAAAACCCACTTGCATTTTATTGTTTTTCTGTCCCGAGGTAATGCTACGAGATCTCAGGTATGGTTTTCTTCTAGATATTTTAATTCGTCTTTAATGGCCGCTTTCCAATTTTACGACTATTACTTTCCATCGCTTCTTTAAGGTTCAAAGGATCACCATCCTCGCCACCCAATGCTAGATAGGTAAAGAATTCTTCAAAATTCCTTGGCTTTGGTGCACGCTTGGATCTTCTTAGTTCTTGTGGCGACATCAATGTTTTATCTAATTCGAAGCTTACATCGCTTGAACCCTTAGCAACTGATGATATGAAAGATTCGTCCTGTGTAGCTCTCTCGTTGGCTGAACATCCTTTTTTTTAGATGAGTCATCCCTCACTGAAGCAGTTTCTTCATCAATGTTCATGATTATAAGTGCCACTTGTTGATTTTCCAAGAATTTGACATCCTTATACTAATAGTGAGCTTCTTGGTGACTGGATTGATACAACCCCAAGCAGCAATTCAGGGCATCTTGACCAAGCCAAAGTAAAATTGCCCTAATTAAGTAAAAAATGACAAAGTTTTGACCTAAAATATGTCCTAAAAGTAAAATTATATTTGAGGTTTTTTTTGTAGGTAAAAAATTATCTAATTTCGATCTGTTAATGCCTTCAATGTTCAATTGTATTTTGAAGTATTTTTCACAGGTAAAATNTTATCAAATTTCGACCTATTAAATGCCCTNACAATCTGTTAACTTATAAGTAATTTCTGAAGTT